TACATATCTATCGCAAACTCGATTTAAACTAATAACAAATTCATAATATTTGTATTATAGTGACAGTAAATAACAACCCTATTACCACTTTAGTAAATCAATTTCTAAACAATCCTAGCGACATATACATTTGTATAACTCTATTGATGCAGACGTTGGAGATTATAACATTATTGTTTTTATTCTTTTGTTATAAATAGCCATTTAGTCACAATAGAGCTATGTATAAGATACAATAGCCCATTATACATACCTTGCCACTAATAATACTGTAGCTACATGTAACTAATGACATAGGTGTATTTAAAGAAACATTTTTCTTATTCTAAATCTGGATTGTATGCAAATGATAATTACATTATTGTCTACTGCACAATAGCTCCAACGTCAGACATCAGCGTCATAAATCAATGATCAATGTCTCAAATTCTTTGTATATAAGACGGACATCTAAGTCACTATTGCGTCAAGGATTGAATATAACGTATTTTCCATCGGAATGGTCAATACATTTTTTACCCGGGGGGATTTTTTATAAGGACAGTTGTTTTGCATTAGCATTAAATGCAAATTATAACCTACATTTTTTTTATTCTCAGTATAAAAGTATCGCTCGTTAATCGTTTTGTGTCCAACAATAGGTTTTTTGTAGTAGGTTCCTCAGTAAGAACAGATGATATCCCATTTTTCATCTGCTCCCACGTCCTGGAAAAACCCATGCTATTTTACGGTCGTATCCATCTTTTGACTTCCATCTTTTTTTCTATTCATATAATCCTTTATCACATTCAATAATTCAAATTTAACAATTATCTTCACCGTTGACACGTCGATATACTTGACTAGGGATCAATCTTAACATTTTCTTCAGGTCGGTAAGTATTGATTGTTAAAAAAAAATCATGTACAACCAAAAAGTGTTTACATGTGACGTTTCGATGATTAGTACAGTATATACTCTGTCACCTTCATCAGACAAATGGGGAATTAGCAAGAGCTGCCTTATCGTGCGCTTACTACTAGTCCTATGCCCTCTGGCTAATATCTCCCTATGTATGTATGCCTGCGTGTGTGCTGGAGATATATTGTGATCTGTTTGTAGTGTGACCGTGTTTCCAACGGCATCATTTATAGTGCCACATCGAAATGACTCCATTCAGCTTCGATTTGTTTAATACTTTGTCATAGATGTGCGAGAGTCTAGGGATCAAATATCAATCTTATTATTAACCAATCAAAGCCGTCGCTGTTTTATCTATGACATGGAGCTTTCCGATGTTACTGTTGATTAAGCTGATGCAATGGTACGCATACATTTGTACATTATGCCTTTACTTCATCACCGGGGATGAGATCCTTAGGTTACATCGGTGCAGTTTGGCATTGTTCTTGTTTCAAATACATGTAGATATAAAGGAATGGAACAATCGGGCGTCATACCGGCTTCATGCAGTATTGACGTAAACGATTTGCGCGCACTCCGGCATCAATGTTTTCAAAGCTCCGTTCAATACATATAACAGGTCATCGCGGTTGAAAAAGAACCGTAAAAATCTCACTGTCCATACTCCTTTCGCAGATCTATAAATGTAATTCTTTTGGTAGTAAATACACAAGAAATAGCAGCAGACATCTAAATACAGGAAGTGAGGAGATATCAATGCAAAAAGGAGAGACATGATTAATACATTTAAACAGGAATAAAAACCATGTATTCGGAGAATGAACATTTCTCTGCATCACATGTGGCACCTAGATGTTGTTTCCTGGTCAAGGCATACAATAAGTATGAATGTCACACACCTAAACTAAAACAAACTCTACTTTAATTAAGTCATTTACATTATGTATCACAGCAAGCCTTAAACGAGATAAGAATGTAGCACTCAGCGTAGATGTGTGTACAGCACTTGTGGCTACGAACAGATGCACCAGGTATACGTGTCACGAGTCATCATCTTCGTGCTATTGTGGAACGTAAGGAGGTGACCTACGGTTAATCTTTGATAAAGTGTAGGTTGTGTTAGGGACATTCTGGGAAACACCTGCAGTGACGTTATATGATAGGTACAGGAATACCTGGTTGTTTTGTCGGAAATGAACCTGTTGTGTCTGGCCTAAAAATAAATTCCTTGATTATTTTTACAGCGACTGTTTTCGTGGAACCTTTTTTTTTTAGATTGTTTATTCCAGATACTATGAAAAAACTGGGCGGGCAAATAACCATCCAATGCGTATTTATTTAAAAAACGTTCATGCCATGGAGCTATAGATAATAACATGTGAACAAAAGCTAGCTCGTTATTAATATTTTTGTGAAGCAAAATTCGTAAAAGGGCAAATGAGAATAAAAAATCGTGCAAGATAGGCCTTTGTCGATTTCATATATTATGTAATATGTTTATTGATCAAAATTATGTTCAGAAATACACTCATTTTTAAATTTATATAAATATCAAATGTATTTTTAAAAAGAAGAAAAACAAGAGAATGCGTTAACAAAATTGAAATTCAAGCTCACAGTCCACAAAACATGGGGAAATATATATATAAAAAAAAGACAGGATTTAAATGGAGACCTTTGGAAAATAACAAGGATAATGAAACTTTATATTTCGTAAGGGTAAGCCATATACCAAATATAAGCCGGCACATTGTCATACGTAATAATCAGATCTGTTTGTTTCCCCTCCTTTATGATAAGTTCCTCGGGTTACTGTTCATAAAAGCCTGATGCTTGACATTAATAGCGATAATGTTTTTACCATTCAGGATTTTAATTTTTTCTAAAACAATATTTGTTCCCTTAGCGGCGACCTGATAAAAGCTCTACAGAGCTTATGTTTGTTGTTGACAATGTACAAGACGTTAAATAAAGATTATTTATTTATATAATTATTTATGAGAGCAAAAACATATTCACGTGTTGAGGTGTGTGACTCGGTTATATTTATGACTGAGGTACTATTTTTATCGAGAGGATTCTTCAGATATAACTACTGTTGTCATGCCTAAATATTATCAACAACAACACCAAAACAACTGTTGTTCGGGTATCAAACACATAGCCTTGAACGTGTATAAAAGTTTGATCTAAAACCTTACGATTGTCAGTGACGGTAGAATCTGTTTACCCCAAATCACGTGTGGTCGCCTATGACAACCCCTACAACTGTGTTCGTGTAAGAGTTGAAGGTGAGCGTTACCAGGTGTTTGGACTGTTAGTGTCAATTAATCCGTCTCGTCACATGTCCAATACATATGCACAGTGTACGTATACTGTACATTAAATAGGGATCAAGGAACAGTGAAAACTTTAAACATGAACAACTATACGAACTAATTTCCCGACACAACAATAATGTACATTTGAAGGCAAATGCTGAGTAGAATTTGTTCTTTAATACAATGAGCGTGGCAGTAAGATGAGCTTGCCGTGATTAATAATATAAAATTATCAACTCCTATTCAGTTTATATCTTATCTTCATAAAAGTAAGTTAAAACAAAATTGTTTCGTTTTATGACTTGACTATAAATTCTTATTGTTATAAGGACTGAATAGAGTATTGTAGAGTTATTGATAAACATGTATGCTGTTTTAAAATTATTTAACGTTTTACTCGTGTTATTCTCTCTAAATTCTCGGAGGGATATCCCTGTATAAAGGTCATACACGACGCCTGTTGTTAGTTTCATTTGATTCGATGTTCCGGCCCGTGTTGCTGACGCTGTGGTTCATATTATTTTCTATCTAACTCTTCATATTATCATATGTATTAGGCTTCCCTTTCGCTTCGCACATTTCCATTTTATAGAACAAGATACTTGAGGTTAGAGGCATCCATTAGGAGGTCAATTTGGAAAGAGAGTACCCTCTTTGAAAAACAATAGACATTTTGTTATTCAATAATGCTCACAATTTACGACAGCATCAACTCAAAAAACATCATCCGCGCTCAAAGGGGATAAGAAAGTGATTCAGAAAGAGTAAGACCGAAAACAACACGGAAGACATAAATAAAAGGAAAGACAATATTAATCGAGAAAACACTAAACACGAGGAGTACAGAAGGAAAGACAACAATGGAACACGAGAAGTACAGAAGGAAAGGCAACAATGGAACACGAGGAGTACAGAAGGAAAGACAACATTGAACACGAGGAGTACAGAAGGAAAGACAACATTGAACACGAGAAGTACAGAAGGAAAGACAACATTGGAACACGAGGAGTACAGAAGGAAAGACAACATTGGAACACGAGAAGTACGGAAGGAAAGACAACATGGAACACGAGGAGAACAGAAGGAAAGACAACATGGAACACGAGAAGTACAGAAGGAAAGACACCATTGAACACGAGAAGAACAGAAGGAAAGACAACATGGAACACGAGGAGTACAGAAGGAAAGACAACTATGGAACACGAGGACAACATGGAACACGAGAAGTACAGAAGGAAAGACAACATGGACCACGAGGAGTACAGAAGGAAAGACAACATGGAACACGGAGAGTACAGAAGGAAAGACACCATTGAACACGAGAAGTACAGAACGAAAGACAACATGGAACACGAGGAGTACAGAAGGAAAGACAACATGGAACACGAGGAGTACAGAAGGAAAGACAACATTGGAACACGAGGGGTACAGAAGGAAAGACAACATTGGAACACGAGAAGTACAGAAGGAAAGACAACATGAACACGAGGAGTACAGAAGGAAAGACAACATTGGAACACGAGAAGTACGGAAGGAAAGACAACATGCAACACGAGAAGTACGGAAGGAAAGACAACATGGAACACGAGAAGTACAGAAGGAAAGACACCATTGAACACGAGAAGAACAGAAGGAAAGACAACATGGAACACGAGGAGTACTGAAGGAAAGACAACATGGAACACGAGAAGTACAGAAGGAAAGACACCATTGAACACGAGAAGTACAGAAGGTAAGACACCATTGAACACGAGAAGTACAGAAGGAAAGACAACATGGACCACGAGGAGTACAGAAGGAAAGACAACATGGAACACGGAGAGTACAGAAGGAAAGACACCATTGAACACGAGAAGTACAGAAGGAAAGACAACATGGAACACGAGGAGGACAGAAGGAAAGACAACATGGAACACGAGAAGTACGGAAGGCAAGACAACATGGAACACGAGGAGTACAGAAGGAAAGACAACACGGAACACGAGGAGTACAGAAGGAAAGACAACATTGGAACACGAGGAGTACAGAAGGAAAGGCAAAAATGGAACACGAGGAGTACAGAAGGAAAGACAACATTGGAACACGAGGAGTACAGAAGGAAAGACAACACGGAACACGAGGAGTACAGAAGGAAAGACAACATTGGAACACGAGAAGTACAGAAGGAAACACAACATTGGAACACGAGGAGAACAGAAGGAAAGACAACATGGAACACGAGGAGTACAGAAGGAAAGGCAACAATGGAACACGAGGAGTACAGAAGGAAAGACAACATTGGAACACGAGAAGTACAGATGGAAAGACAACATTGGAACACGAGGAGTACAGAAGGAAAGACAACATGGAACGCGGATAGTACAGAAGGAAAGACAACATGGAACACGAGGAGTACGGAAGGGAAGACAACATTGGAACACGAGAAGTACAGAAGGAAACACAACATTGGAACACGAGGAGAACAGAAGGAAAGACAACATGGAACAGGAGGAGTACAGAAGGAAAGACAACATGGAACACGAGGGGTACAGAAGGAAAGACAACATGGAACACGAGGAGGACAGAAGGAAAGACAACATGGAACACGAGGAGTACGGAAGGGAAGACAACATTGGAACACGAGAAGTACAGAAGGAAAGACAACATGGAACACGAGGGGTACAGAAGGAAAGACAACATGGAACACGAGGAGAACAGAAGGAAAGACAACATGGAACAGGAGGAGTACAGAAGGAAAGACAACATGGAACACGAGGAGTACAGAAGGAAAGACAACATGGAACACGAGGAGTACGGAAGGAAAGACAACATTGGAACACGAGAAGTACAGAAGGAAAGACAACATTGGAACACGAGGAGTACAGAAGGAAAGGCAACAATGGAACACGAGGAGTACAGAAGGAAAGACAACTATGGAACACGAGGAGTACAGAAAGAAAGACAACTATGGAACACGAGGAGTACATAAGGAAAGACAACAATGGAACACAAAGAGTACATAAGGAAAGGCAACAGGAATCTAGAACACGCAATAATGAACAGAAAGGCAATAATGGAAACTAATTGGTTCAAAGGGTAAGCTAATAGAAATCGAGATAACCCGGAACTAAGAGAAAGACAACAATGAGAGCCAAACGGGCACAGAAAAAAGGCAACAGGAATCGAAAGACGCAAAAACAAAGAAGGATTATTTCTGAGAAAGATGTACAAAAACAAAAGGAAAGGGCAGTTAGAAAAGAGTACACCTGAACTAAAGGAAAGACAACAATTACATATTTACTGTCTACTCTCTGTACAGATTTACTGTCAACTCTCTACATATTTACTGTCTACTCTCTGTACAGATTTACTGTCTACCCAAGAGGTATACAAAAAGAAAGACAACAACAACAGGAGCCGAGGACGTGAAAATACAACGAAACAAAAACACAAGGAAACCAGTAATCAAGGGGAAGAGAAAGAACAATGGGAAAGACATCAACAACAGAAACCAAGGACGTGAAAATACAACGAAACCAAACACAACGAAACCAGTAAACAAAGGGAATAGAAAGAACAAAGGGAAAGACAACAACAACAGGAGCCATGACGTGAAAATACAACGAAACCAAACACAAGGAAATCAGTAAACAAGGGGAAGAGACAGAACAAAAGGAGAGACAACAACAACAGAAGCCAAGGACGTGAAAATACAACGAAACAAAACGCAAGGAAACAAGTAAACAAGGGGAAGAGAAAGAACAAAAGGAAAAACAACAACAACAGGAGCCAAGGACGTGAAAATACAGCGAAACAAAACACAAGGAAACAAGTAAACAAGGGGAAGAGACAGAACAAAGGGAGAGACAACAACAACAGGAGCCAAGGACGTGAAAATACAACGAAATCAAACACAAGGAGACAAGTAAACAAATGGAAGAGAAAGAACAAAGGGAGAGAAAACAACAACAGGAGCCGAGGAGGTCTAAAACAAAAAAGGAAATTGTTTACAATCACGTTCACGAAAAGTAAAGACGCACAACCAAGTAATGTTTCTATTAATTGAGATACCCAGCATGTTGTGATTTGTCATGTTAACATTAGTTAACGTGAAATTTGTAAATTGAAATGAAAGGATAAAAGGTATGTTACACAAAGGAAATGTTTCAAAATATGCTCTTCATTTATTTTCTTTTAATAGTACAAGGGTAAAACAGATAAAAAATGAACCTTATTTGTATGCACGATAAATAACCTTAAAATCGCACCGCCTACACAGCAGAAGCACAGATAATTACTTGACGGCACTTGACGTCATCATACACATCCTTGATAACACTGTATCTGGGGACATTTTAAAACGTCATTGTCAGTCGACCTCCTGCGTACAAAGACTTGTGAGGTTTAACAATCAAATGTAGCATGAATTTTGTTCTAAACACATGTGGCAGGCTTAAAACTACCTTTGTTCTAAATAGCTCACGACAAAGTCCTACTATGCACAGCACTATTATTGTATAATAGAACACAGTTCACATTCGGTGTATTATACCGATATGCTTGGCAAATGTAGTCTCTTATATGTTTTGTCTTGTCGTAAAGACTTTGTGTTAATCTTATATTCGTTTGTGTTAGAACAACTAAAGTATCTTCTCCTTTACACGATTCTGATGTTAGATTCATTTGCTGTATCTAGGTCATTATATAACCTAAATTGCAGATAATCACTTGACGGATTTTAAGGTTGTGTGTTCGCATATAGGTCATTATATACGTACACTGTATACTAGGAGTATTTTGCCCAGTCAAATATTGCACTTTTCCGATATAATCTATGTTCGCCCAGTGTTATTGTCGCCCTTTATATGTAACTTCTATATAATGCATGTTGTGTACCGAAATTCGCTATCCTGATAAATTCGCCCTAGTTAACTGCGGCGACGACTTCCTGGTATACTGTATATCATAACAGCCTCAACTTGTGATGCAGCGTACTTATTTATTTCAGGGGCATCTGGTAACTAGTATATAGAGAATAATACATGCCTTTTTCCATATCACACCAAGTATCAACCCGAGACTGCAATCTCAGCCCAAGGGCCGAAGGCCCGAGTGCTGATATTGGCCGAGGGTTGATACTGGGTGTGATATGGAAAAAGGCGTGTTGTATTCTGTTTATTACATACTTACTAATAAAAACTACTATCTTATGATTTTTTTTATTTTTGAAATATTGAAAAACGATTTTTTTCCAAAAGGGGTGTGATATGGGTTTTGCGGACTGATACGGGTTTTGGGGTGTGATACGGCGGGGACTGACACGGGTTTTGGGGTGTGATGCGGCGAGGGCTGATATGGGTTAGAGCAATTGTGTCGTATCGCATATACAAAAAAAACAACGTATTTATTAGTAAGTATGTAATAAACTTGTATATTGTTTGAAAGTTAATGGTGGATATTTTTGTTCATATTAGTGTACTGAGTCAGATATCTTGATACAGGAACAGTGATAAAGACAGTGCCGTCGTTCGGGTTCGAACCTGGGACCCTCTAAACTCTAGACGAACGCTCTACCAATTTAGCTTCCTGGTCGCCGAAGATCGACCCAGTCCAGTTCCGCTACATACATCTCTTTGTTCAGTAACGTGTACGCGCGTGTGTGCGTGCGTTTGTGCGTGCGTGCATGCGTGTGTGCGTTTGTGTGTGTGTGTTAGAAGGGGAGTTACACTTTTGTACGTCCAAGCATGTGTGTATTGACACTATGCAAGTTTATTTGCCAAATTATTTTGGTTAAGTACATCTGTGTGCACAATGCATACACAGTTGATTAAATTCATAACATACAACTGTATTTTCTTTAACATCAAGATGCTATACCATCATACATTTTCGTCAAGCATTTTAATTTCAATTGTATTTAAATAATTCATTATATTTATATATACTATTTTGTTTATTCAAATATTATAAAAACTAGAATGAAACCAACGAGGAAATCGTTCAAATCAGGTAAGATCATCTTAACGTTTGTAGCTACAATGTACAATACTTTCAAGTGCTACCGGTTACAGCTCAAACGATACACATGTTTGACTCTGATTATACTTATATACACTACGTTTTATTTAGACACACGTCCTTTTAACATATGATAATAGATAGTCATTGAATGCTAATTCAGTACATAGTACTTCTGAATGGTATCTCTACATCGTGTTTATTTTTGGCCACACGCCGTTCTAGATTATACCTCATACAATGACTGGGGTTTGACATTGATTTTGAATGTCACAGATAACGTATATTTGCTTTGTTTTGGTCTATATTTAGTTTTTTATCAAACCAGAAATAGCGTCATTCTCCGATATTGATCAAAATGATGACGTATTGATTGTTATATCGTTAATCGATATTTTGTTACGTAAGTATTTGACGTCATAGGAATTAAGGGTTATATCCTTTCTAAGGGTTTCTACGGTAAAATTGTCAAATAAATCTAATTTTAAACGTAAATGTAATTGTTTCCGCTCATGTGTATAAGTATGGTTTAATTATAACAAATGATATAAAATTCTATCATTTGGTAACATTTGTTTTGATAAATGGCATCAGTTATCTAGACAAATAAATATCTTGCTGTAGGTAGCAAAGATGTATAAAAATAATGATGTATGTACTTATTCTATGGTCACTACGTTATGATCTGAACAGAAAAGCTGCCGATGTGTACATGCATATATATATATAGAATATGCACTATCACTGCCCTTGACCTCGAAAATAAGACAATGTCCTTTGTCCGCAATGTCGCTACTACTTCTTTACTTATATCTATATTAGCAATTCACATCCAACAAATATATGTTCGTCCGAATCCAATACATGTATTGAACCGAAATCTCGTTATAACGTTTGACACCTATTTTTACTTATTTAACAAATCATCATATCCGAGGGAAAGTTATTCAAATTTATATAACTATTAGATTTTGATTAAAACCTTGTTGACGACGCTTTTGACTTTTCGGACAAAAATATTTATTATTTACGTTTTGAATGTGTGTCAGCAGACCAGCTTTCTCTGATGGTGGATCATGAAGGAGATATCATTTATTTGTTTTTTGTATTTTTTGTTACCTCAGTCACTGTTAGTGTCACATGTTTTGCAGGACAATGTGATGTAGGACACGCTGACCCGTCCGGAAGACCCGGAGGCATCTCCTTTCGGAAAGCCTTGTGTTACATGTACCTCTCGAAAGTTGGTGGCATCAGATACTTTGGGAGGCCAAAGTATCTGATGCCACCAACTTTCGAAGTGCCTTGAATCTCAGCCTCATTTGACGTAGTTGTTGGGGATTCGATTTACTTTATTCTTCGTGCATGGTAAGTAGTGTTATAGATGATTCAATTAGAATTGTGGGAATGATATTCAAATATGTACAATGAGTATTTTCCTAGTTGAAGTGAAATGGCATAATACATATTCAGAAGAACAGGACGAGGACAACAGCGACGCAACGTAAATGCTCATACCCTATTACAATTACTTTTTGATATTCTCCTTACTTTCATAGATCAGCTTTCTTGACCAATGTATTTTGCAATAGCCTCTTATATCAATATGACGATATATATGATATTTAAAACGTCCATTGACCGGCTAGATTTAGTTTATAATACAGGTACATTACACCGTTCTCGGCTAACAAGTAATGCCAAATACATATATTCATTTTGTTATATGTAATATAACGAAAGTAGTTGAAGTAAAACCAGACGTCGTGATAACAGAATAGTATAGCTTTTGCATAAATGTCACTGACAACATAAACAACAACTACTAATATTTCTCTTGACAACAAGCTATGAAAGAATTCATTGATGGTACTATCATTTAACACCCAATATAGACACAGTTAGTGAAAAGAACGCACCCATTAGCTGGCAATATTAAGTGATTGTTTGTCTATGTTTAATGTTATTTCTCCTAGTATATCCACAACTTGTTTTACAATATACACCTTGTCTATCCTTCATGTGATGAACACACAGATATGCAGAGGTTAAGGAACGGTGCAGCTGTCACCTACATGAAAATTTCCAGCACATCACTGTCTGAAATCAGAAAAACCCATTTTCTAGTTTCCCTCACATGTACATGTATTAGAATATTAACGTGATAGAGTAAAGGTTTGGAAATTGAACATATTTGTGTCATGTTATATTTTGGTTTTTACTGTTCTATAAAAGAGACCGGGAAAATGTAATAAATTGTGAGATTTTTCTTTGTCGACAGGTTTTCCAAATGTCAACATATTTCCTTTATTAGTTGATGTAACGGTTTAAAATCGTTATAAAGAATTTCATTGTTTCTATAAAATATTATATGCGTACCATACAAGTCATGTGACCATTTTACAACTGACCAATTAAAATATAATGATGGATTGTTATATTTGTTTCAACATTAATTTAGTGATTGTAATGCCAGGCACAGTTGTGATATTTTAAATCTTCAAAATTGAAAAAAAAATGTATATCATCCTTAATCCTT